TAATTCAAAGTTCGGTTACAGATTACAATTTTTTGGTAACTTCACTTTTATTCTACAAGAAGTAACTCTTCTGAATAAGACTGCTTTCCTTTTTCTTTGGTCACTGCTATGTGCATCTTCAACCTAAGTTGGTGGCACAGTGGTTAGGATTCTCGCCGACCATCCACATGGTCCGGGGTTCGAGCCCACGCCGGCGCACACCTGATATCTATGGTCGGCCTGCAAAATTTGGGCTACCGATATCCATGCTGAAAATTCCATACTTGTACCAAAAACACAGTGTGGAATCAAGCTGTAAATCAAAAAAAAAAAAATAAGTTAGCTTTATTTTCCTTCATGTTCCCTAGTGGAATATAGGAGTTCAAGCTAGTGGCTTGAAGTTTCTGTAGCAATGTTTAATTTTGCTAGCCTTATGCCCAACCTTTCCTCTTTACCAGCATTACTTCTGGCTTAGCGAGGTAAAGGAGTGAGTCCGCCGGGGGTCGAACCTCGGGCCGTGTGCATGGTCGGCGAGTGTCCTAACCGTTATGCCACCAACGCACTAAATTAGCTTAGCACATATTTATACTAAGCGGTCAACTTAAAAAGTGTCCACACTACCGTTTCACACGAACAGTCAGACAGGCTTACTTAGGCTGTTAGGGCTTTTCATTGTATTGCACACTGTACTTATCCGTTAGTCAATCTTGGTTTAAAATGGCAATCTTTTTTTCTATAGATATTCATATTCTTAAATCACTAGAAACAAGTTATTCAAATCAATTTATATTACCGCGCATTTTAAGATTAAGGTATAATTGGTGTTCACTAAGTTCACTCAGAATTCTGCATACAAAGACTAGTAAACAAAAACTCTCATTTCTTCACACATATTTGTGCACATCGGTAAATAAATATGCGTTGTTCCAAGAGTTTTAAGGATTTTTTTCTTTCTTTCTTCATATTTCATCGAAGTAAAATGAAGATGATACTAAGCACAGTAATAGTAAATGGAAATGGATTTTAACTGTCTCAATTTCTATTTAGTGCGCGTACAAGTAGTGAATGAGAGATTTGAGACGTCTCATAGTATTTTCTTTTGTTATTAATCACAAAAGTAAATATGAGAACGTGTATTATGCAATAATAGTCATTCTGATAGTATTACTAATAGTGAAAATGATTCTTAAGGTTTAAGAACAAGATCTTCCTACATTTCTCTCTCTCTGTCTGTCTCTCCACTGTTTCGACGGAAAGACGACAACATCGATTATGATGATTTTTTTTAATGTTCTAAAGAATCATTGAACTGGAGGTTTAAAAAGACAAATGAAAGGGAAACTGGTAAAGCTGTTGTTGTCACTCCAAGACAACAGTTTTATCAACTGTCTATAAGAATCCGATTGTACATTCTTTTGGTTGGAACTGAAGTCAGTTAGAGAACCATTGGAAATCCAACTGTGAGTACTGTCAGACAGCTGTTTCCTACATCCTAGTTTGCGACTCTTCATCACCAGGGTTAGAACCCAGGACCTTCCAATTACAAGACTAGCGAGCTAGCCCGTCGACCATTCATCAACCACTGGGACTCGATCCAGTGGCCAACCAGCACATGAATTCTAACTTCTGCCGATTCATGACATAGCGCGACCAATTCACAATGTCTTCTTCGATGAGTTAGTGCCTCAGGTTTAACCTGTTGTAGCCCTACTGGTCATGGCTCCCCACTAGATCCCCAGGTAAATGCCTGAATAGTTCCAGTCGGAAGTGAGCATCTGATTGATTTTCAAGTATTGGTTTTGTAGGGACTTCTGTTTGTTTGATTGGTTCGATGATTTTATCATGAGCTGACATCAGTTATTTTATTTTCGTATTGTTCTACACATTCTCAATTTATTCGCTTCCTTATTTTTACTTCTAAATAAGATTAGAGAGAAGAAAGCAGCAATGAAAATGGGGAGAAGAAGAAGAGAAGGTAAAAAAAATAAATAGAGAGGGTAAAAAGAAAATAAGAAAATCAATTTATTGAATCTTCTTTTTGCATCTTAATTTTTCTATGAACACTGGAAAGAAGGATGATGCTGTAATCACACACACAAATTGTTCATTAAGCCAAGAAAAAAGTGAAGTTGACAGGATAATGAGATGGCGACAAAAACACCCATAATGAAAATAACGGTGATGATGATGAGGACGAGGGTGATATAGATGAGTCAACTTGAACAATGCAGTAGGTGGAATGTCACAGACACACGCACACACACACACGTACGCATACACGCACATACACACATATATACAAATACCAACACTTCATTACTCATCTATACTCACGTGGCTATTATGAAGTAGAAAAGGATTTAGTGAGTGAGTGACATTGGGGAATTTTTTAGACATGATGTAATCGAATTTTTGAAGAAAATTAGGACCTTAATTATTATTCCCTTAGTTAATCAGAAGCAGAAAAGAGAGAGAAATCAGCATTTTGAATAATTAATTGTATAAGAATATTTACATACAGTAATAATAACAATAATAATAATACATGCATACATATATACATAATGAAGATTTCTGACGATGAGTGTAAATGTGTTAAGGTCATGATTTCAATAGTCGTGTCTGAATTACTTATTAGTCATTTTGAAACCAGACTATTGATTGATTCGGCTATTTATTTATTTATTTTATTAGATAGTTAGAGGCAATCAGCAGGAAGCCTTGTTATTGCATAATTTCAGAGTAAAGAATTGAGGGAAAGGGAAGTGCAGAATGTGAAACATCTTATTTTTATTGTGATCTTATTGAATTACTAACAGATCAATGCGATAGATTGCAGAATCTGCTTATCTGCTGTTTGGTTAATCTGCACACTCGGTCTCTTTTAACATGTTGGCTTGTGGTATAAAGGCTTTAAGGATTTCTGAGAACTAACAAGATGTTATTTGGAGTATGATGATTAACAATGGAATTCCAGGTGTATATTTCTTCTCAATTGGTGTCGACATTCCCCAGTGAGTGACGACATTTCCAATGAGACTCAAAATGCACATCCACTGCTGGTCAACATCAACAGAAGTATTTCCTTATCTTTCATTTTATTTGGTTATCAATAGTGTTAGTTAGTATTATTCATTACTTTATTGTTTAAAGTTGTAGATGATTCCTAATGATTTTTAATAGTTGGTTTGTAAGGATTAGATTTGCATTTATGGGTTTGAACATGGATCGATATCAGTTAGAGAACCATTGAAAACCAGCACTGGAGTACTGTCAGACATCTGTTTCATCCTAGTTTAAGAATCAGCAGAAGTATGCATCGACTGCCATGGTTCGAACCCAGGACCTTCCAGTTACAAGGCAAGCTAGCTCGTATACCATTCAGCCACTGGGACCCAATTCAATGGCCAGTCAGCCCATGAATTTTACATTCTACCAATTCGTGATGCATTTAGCGCAACCATCAACAGATGTCATCGGTGGGACATCTATCCTCACACTTGACTGGAATGGACCTCATTGGTAACGACTCTTCACTAGAACCCCATCCTGTAGCAAGTCACTAGCGAGCATTAGATTGATTTTTCATAGTTGGTTTGAATTAAAGATTAGTCGGTTTATTTGTGAATAATAGATGACATTTGAAAGTGAAAGGAAAATCCAGTTTTAAACTGAGATTTAAGTGTCCAGTGGATCATCTGAAGTGCTTATCTGACTAGTAAATCACAGGCTAATGGTTTGAGTCCCGACACTACGTAGATTTTCATTCCCCCTTCAATCATTACCGATTACATCCATTACAGGCTACCATATCAGATGATCTCAGTATCATACGAATATGAAAGATAATCTCCGCTTTCTTTTAGAATGATTCAGAAGCATTTTTAACCAATATTAAAGTCAGAAAAGGAGAAAACATGAAACAAATGGCCGGTAACAACGACACGAACTTCGTTGGGACTTTTCATTTTCTCGTTGATTCATCGTAAAGTTATTGTGTCACCTTCTTTTATGCATGACTCGATGTTATCTTGAAGTTAATCTTATGATATTTTGACTGATGGTGGCTAGTAATGGAATCCAGGATGGGCACTTTGTCTTTTCTAGGACTCGTCAGTAGGATGCACATGCATTCTACTGGGAATCCACCGAAAGCCCCCTCCCGTCTCAATGAAAATTAATATGTAATATCAAATAAAAGATAATCAGTTTCAAAATAATCCCAACATCATTGGAAGCACCACTGTTAGCTATTAAACATCAGAAATATTTAGGTTCTTTTTCTAATTATTTCTTGATTAAAGCTTCCAGTCGTGTCATCTACTTTACGGCATAACAAAATTTATAAGATTTTATGAAATGACCAGTTATATAAATGACTGCAGGTGAATAATGGTGATTATGTTCCTGTCAGTAGTGACAACTATCTCCAGCTTGTACATTCTGGGAAATATAAACGCATACATTAAAACAGTTTTTTTTTCAAAAAGAGGCTATCAGTAAGCTGTTTAGAACTATACTGCTCCCATACAAAATGAGGTTAACAATACATGTATATTAATAAAAGAACATTTTTAAGGTAAATTGAGAATGCAATAAATGGTGAATACATATACAAGCTTTGAATTTTGCTGTAGATACCGGGTTGATTTCCTAGATTAGGGTCGCTAGCCCCATACTTAATCTTCCTTGTTTTCTGGGGATAGGACAAGCAATTAAAGTAGGGAACTCTAGCAGGCTAAGAAGCACCAACATTCTATCTCCCTACAAATATAGGTGAATAGGAAAACTCTAAGAAGACCGTTGAGTAATGTCATGTGCCAAAAGACGTCCTAAAGTGGTATCCATATGGGAAGCGACGACTTAGACGTTGTTGCTAGAGTGAGTTACAAATGAAGCCTGATGGGAAGTCATATAGCCGGAGAAGTGCTGCTCAGACCATATGTTCCACTGAGAACCAAAGACAATAATCGTAATAATGGCAATAATAATAATAATAGTAAGTGCATAAACATACATACCTGGTTAACAGTAGTCCGACGTAATAGGAGTGAGTATAAATATAGTTAACAGATGAAATTAATGATGGGCAATAATGAAAATATAAAAATAGTTAAATATTAGTATATTCCATTCAATGTTTTTATCAATGAAATGTTGTTATACATGTATGCTCCAAGTATAGTGCAAGGGAATTTGAGAAGAATGACTAGTTTGATTTAGAACACAGTTTCTCACTTTTATCTGGCGTATGTCATCATTCTGTATGGTTGTTATTGTATGGCTGTTGCTGCTTTTTTTTGACAATGATTTATTACTGAGTGTGTTTTTTTTGTAATCTGAACGATGCTTATTTGTTTATTTATTTAATTTGAAGTTCTCTTCCTTTTCTGTGTTGTAAATCGACGACGTTATTTTATGTGAAGAATAGAATAGATTGTAATAGTTACAGTTGTTGTTACAATTGTAATAATTTTGTAAATGATAATAACATGATTTAGATGGCGTTTTTATTATTACTATTATTCTTATTAAGAAGTTGATGTTGTGATTATTTCTACTACTGTAATTAATATTGTTAGAATGATTGTAGTAATGGTGAATTAGTTATGCAGAGAAAGACATACACATCAATCACAGACGACGATGACGACGACGACCACACAAACCACCACCACATTACATCTCGACTTCTGTGCACCTTGTTCAATCAGTCTATTTTATTGTGAAGATAGTTAGATAGTTAGAAAGATGGATAGGTGGTAGGGTAGAGAAGATGGATAGATGGACGTATACAGATGAATAGAGATGGACATATTACAGATGGATAAGTAGAAGGTGAGGTAGTGGCAGTTACACACACACACACACACACACACACACACAAACCTACATACATACATGTGCACATAAATGACTGTCTAGTTAGATGGATAGATTGGTTGGTTGGTTGTGTATAGAAAACGACATATGAGATTGAGAAAGAAAGTTTATCATTTTAGATAGATAGATAGATGGATAGATGGATGAATTATGGGCGGAGTAATTTTTACTCTCCACATACATCTATTTCACTTTTTCATATAATTGTTATTATTATTAGACAGCTGTCTTCAGACAATCTAATTGATGATTGGTTAATATAATCTCTCTCTCTCCACACTCACTCACTCTCCTCTTAGCGTAGTGAGTGATAGAGGGAAGGAAGAGAAAAAAAATGAAGTGTATTTAAAAAAAATATGATTCAGATGTCAGGAAATAAACAAAAAACTCTCTCTGTACACGTACACTGGTACACACACACACACACACCATACATATATATTTGTCTTTTGAATTACCTATATGTATATACATATGTGTACATACATAGTTGAGTGCATATCGATAATTAATTTACAACCACAATGATCATAGTTTTGTTGATGTTATTGTGATGAAAGGCTCCTTCTTATTTAGGATTTCTGATCCTACGAAGTTGAATTTGATTATCAAGTAATTAGAAATATTTGATAGAAGAATTTTATAAGAAAAATCATGTGAAAGAATTCAGGAGCTGAGAAAAATATATGAAAAAAACACACACGAGAGTAACTTGTGACTTTTTGTATTCATCATATAACCTGAAACATCAGTTATCGAGTACTGAGATGGAAAGAGAGTGAAGGGTGAAGAGAACATTAAATGAGCATGTTAAAATCAATAAACAATGTGTTGAAGTGTAACTTAATACAGAAATATGCCTTTATAGTGGTAGTTTTTTTGAATGATTTCCTTACACGATCTTTTCAGTGTCATCCTGGTACCTGTACCCAACTTGTCGTTTCTTATTCGGGTTCAACTTGAGGGCCTGGATAGGGTGTGATGTCACTCAGTGGCTTCTTTAACATGTGTCCGACCTATCTTCATTTCCTTTTAATTATTTTTTTATGCAATTGGTTCGTTGCACTACACGAGTACCTTGATGCTAATTCTGCTGACTGATTGATCTCCAGTTTTGAGCTAGTGAAGACAGCTATTGATGAAGGCCTGCAGTAGCCTGTTGGAAAAGCGTTCTGTGAAACGTACCGCAAGTCTCTGAGTTATCTAGGAGCATCGATTTTACATTAATGATGAGATTCGGAATCTAGTTCTTTATATTGAGTGTGCAATTGAGGTCTTTCTTTCAGCGATCCTGTCTTCGACATCCTCATCCAAGCCAACTCTTGAGTTGGGACAGTGTTTTCTAGATAACTGAAAGAGTTAACTACTCTCGAATTTATCTCGTTGAAGCTGATTAATGCATGTTGGTGATTAAGTATGTTCATCACTACTGTCTTCTGTATGTTCACTTGGAATCCTGTCTTCACTGTTTACCGCTTCTGGTAACCTTCAAGTTTGTGTGGCATTCAATATAAATCATTCTCTCAGTTTAGATCTTCAAATGTCTTATTGTCGGTCCATCAATATCTAAAAGATTTAATTTTATTTCATTTGAAGAAGTGACATTTAGCAATCTTTTCAACACAATCATAACCAAGACCGGATCATTAGCTCCATTTATTGATTCAGACAGTCAGTCGGTCAGTCAGCAGAACTATGAGGTGGTAACCTGAGTGTCTATGATTTGAATCCTACTACAACAATAAAGGATTTCCTTCTGACTGAGTGCATTTACTAAAGGGTAAGCTTGCTACAAGAAATGTGACATAAACCAGTACATTATCATATTTCACTTGATAGCTTGTGAAGATATCATTGGAGCAGTGTGAGCTCATTAGTTCAAGTACTGGTTTGCAGGAATTTCTACAATGTCCTGGTTTTAAACCCCACTCACTGAGTGCGTACCATAGAAGAGCCCCAAACTAAGACGAAATAGCCATCCAATATTTCCAGGTTTTCAAATAGTTCTCTAGCCAATGTCAGTTCATAATGAAATCTTGTAGCTTTCTAAGTTTTTGTGTGAAATTCGATTAAGAATGTTTATCCTTCATCATTTCTCTATTTCGTTGCCTTATGCTTCAGGCATCTACTGTTAATTGAAATAATAGTAATAATTCACTTAGTTATTATTCATAGTTAATTTTATAATTCTGATAATCCATGTGCATAAAATGATTAGTTTTTTTTCTTTATTGTTGTCATCTGACTAGATTATGACATAAAATGTATGAGAATTTTGTTTTTACTTACGGAGCCATTATGAGTAACGTTTAGATTAGGTGTAAAATAGTAAACTCGGTTATTGAAAACGCATTCTTCGTGTCTTGTTTCACAATCTTGTCTTACTTAATGGTAAAATAAACTGTGGAATTTTAGACGGTACACTGTGCGTCGGTGGCACAGTGGTTAGGACTCTCGCCGACCATGCACATGGTCCGGGGTTCGAGCCCACACCGACGCACACCTGATATCTATGGTCGGCCTGCAAAATTTGGGCTACCGATATCCACGCTGAAAATTCCATACTTGTACCAAAAATACAGTGTGGAATCAAGCTGTAAATCAAAAATCAAAAAAAAAAAAAAATAATAAATAAATAAATTATGTTTGCTGGAAATTATTTAGAATTTTAAACCTATCCGGTCAACACATTTGCAGAATAATAAATTGAATGAAATGATTAGTTGGAGGATTTCATCATGAGCTGACGTCAGTTAGAGAACCATTGGAAAACCAACTGCGAGTACTGCCAGACAACTGTTTCCTCCGTCCTAGTTTGAGACTCTTCACCACTTTCACCCACCACCACCACGACCAGGCTTCGAAGTCAGGACATTCCGGTTACAAGGCGGCTAGCCAGCTAGCTCGTAGACCATTCATCAGCCACTGGGACTTGATTCAATGGCGAGCCAGTATGTGAATTCTAACTTCTTTGAATTCATGACATTGTGCGACTACTTTGCCATATTTTCTTCAATGATGAGTTACTGCCTCACGTTCTACCTGTTTCACCATACTGGTCCCAAAGTGGGACTAAACATCTATCCAGTACTGCCAGCTGGTTTTCCAATGGTTTTATAACTGATGTCAGCTTATGATGAAATTCTACATCCAATCAAAAAAGCAAAATCCCTACAAAACCATTAGTTGAACGAAATGAATTGAGTTCAACCCTTAAATTTTCTTATTGGATTGTTCTAGATTCATGGTTTAATAGGGCAGTGAATTTTTTCCGAATATGACGAACTGAAGTCAGTGAAGAAATCTTTGAAAATAAGGAAAGACTGGTAGTCTGTTTCGTTCTAGTCTGGAAGCTTTCCTTAGTAGGGCCTACGACCAGGGACCGAATAGCGATCCTCAAGTTACGAGACCAAGTTTTTTGATCATTTAGACATTTTAGCCGGAATCCAATGATTCGTCAATTCTGACTTTATGAATTTGTGTTTGCATTATAACAATAAGAAAAATTAATGGATGGATAGAGATTATATTAATGTATAAAACTATATACCACTGATTGTCTGAGATGAGGAGGTGTATAGCACGCGCATCAAATAGTAGTACTCACTGACCAGATGATAGTCAGTAGTAAGTAATACAGGAAAATCTTAACCACTTGAGAAATATTTCATTTTAGTTTATGCAAACATTTTAATCAGTATTCGAACCAATCACTGATGGATTCTTTAGTATTTAAAAGAGAATTAGATGAACTTATCTAAGTAGGTGATAGCTACGTAAGTAAGATTCATAGAAATATAAAAGCTGCAGTTGATAGTAGAGTTTTTTTTAGTAAATTTATTGTCCAGTGGGTGACGAAAATGAAAATCTAGATGGAGATGTAAGTCGTACCAATGACTTCCAGTTTACAAGCTAAGCATCTTACCAAATAAACTACGATTTCAGGTTGTAAAGTAATTCGACGTTTCACTGCAACTATCATAGATCTTATGGAATTGGTAAGAAACATCTGTCACTTCTCATTTCCGGTTATATTCACCAAATAATATTTACATGCGCAAATGAGTTTTAGATAATTGGAGGCAATCAACAGGAAGCCTTGCTGGATCTAGGTTTCGTGATAGTTAGCACTCACTAGTCATGTCCCGCGTCACCCAGTGAGTACTGTAGTTAGAGATGTTACCACTGAGCTATTTTGGTTCGCGATTGGACACTAGTAACTAGTGTGATGTGTATCGTCCGATCTTTGGTGCAGACTGCATTCTATCAGTCATGTTCAGAAACCTTAGTTGTAATGTCGCTAACCGCAATACTGACTGACTGACTGACGAGGGTTCGAATATCAGAAGATACATGAGTTCCTTCAAGGTTGCGGATACGCCTTTCTGACCGGTAAGTGCTAACTATCACGAAACTTAAGTCGAGCAAGGCTTCCTACCGATTGCCTCCAACTGTCTAATATCATCTAATCAATGCGCACTATGATGGCAAGCTACCTAGAATGGTGGCCACGTTGCGAACCTGACTAACAGAATTCAGTCTGTACCAAAGAAAGGACTAGGCACATCACACTAGTTACTAGTGTTAGATCAAAGTATAAGTGAGTTTAGTGAGAAAATAGAAATGCGTTCTATTACAGCCTGCTTTAACATGTTTAAGTAAGTTGTTTAGTGGTGCAATAGATAATTTCTGTGGTACAGTTACTCTGCGTACACGATATAGTGAAAGTAGCGAAACTAAATTGAAAATAAGCGAAAACAACAGATTACTATTTTTGTTTCACTATGATAACAATTTTTGACTTATGCGTTCAGGAAGAGATTCTGTATAAGATTTTCTTGATATAACAATGACCGTGTACAGAAACTTTATTCAACCTTCTGTTTTATCTTTCCTTTTTGATTACCACTCACTTATTTTAAATAGGTTTCCATCACTTTCCTACATCTCTTTCATACTTAAAATAAACATTCCTTAGATTACATCAACATGTACATGCCACAGTTTACAATCTACATTTTATATGAGTACAGTTTTTCAGATATTGGTAGTGGTAATATAGTTTTCAATTCGCTCTTAATTGTATGGACCTCGTCATAGAATGCAACTAAACCTAATAGTTATTTTCCTTTCTTCATTCCTCGCCTTCCGAGTGGAACATAGGGCTTTTAGCTTTACACTTTGAAGTTTCAGTAGCGGAAGTGTGGATTTCACGGCGAGGAATTGCTAGCCTCACATCCAGGCTTCCCACAGGCTAGTAAACAAGGCA